AAAGTCTAGTGCAGCAGTGCTGGCCTGCTGAAGGAACCAGAGAACCACCTGCCGTGAGTGTGGGATACTGATGTCTGACTTAAATCACACCATGTCCCGTCTTCAAAGCTGCCAAGTGGGTCAGCACAGCCCAAGGCCAGGGAGTGAGGCAGGTGGGAAAGACGCATGTTCTCCATGCAGGCTTCAAATCTGCTCAGGAAGATGTGCGTGAGGAACCTTGTTCGGAAGTACTGTCGCGGAGTCTCAGCTGAGAGGAGAGCTGTGGTAGGACCGAAGACGTGGCGTCTGCATGTGGTGGGGACCAGTCTGCAAGTTAGAGTCTCAGTTCTAAAGTTGACGTTTACTGTCTGCCTATGAGCCGAGGGTGTCACTATTGTCAGGACTTACAGAGGAGTTGAGGAATACCAGCTGCTACAGTTAGCATCCCTGTGTTACCACGGGAACAGACTCCAGATGGTCCTTGCACTGCAAGGCAGGACTGTCTGTGCTGGGGGGGGACTCTCACCCTGTGGTCTTTCCTGTGGGGCTGCGGAGTCAGTTTAAGGCTTTCTGGGCCATATGTCCTGTTGTTCCTCTGCTTTCTTGTTATAGGAGGAAACAGTCACAGATATATATATATAGTCCCAACAAAGCTTTACTTAAAGACACAAGCAGCTGGCCACAGGCTGCCTCTGGGTTCAGTTGCAGAGCTCTGGTTTAGGAGAGAGATGCTCCCTGTCTTAGGGTTTCTATAGCTGTGAAGAGACACCATGACCACGGCAACTCATAAAAGAACAGCATTTAATGGGGGTGGTTTACATTTTCAGAGGTTTATCCATTATCACCATGGTGGCATCACCACATGGTGGTGTGCAGGCAGACATGCTGGAGCTGAAGAGTCCTCCATCTCCATAGGCAGGCAACAGGAAGTGGTCTGTGTCACTGGGTGTGGCTTGAGCATCTGAGAGCCCTCAAAGCCCACCTCCACAGTGACACACTTCCTCCTAATAGTGCCACACCCTTTGAGGGCCATTTTCTTTCAAACCACCACACCCCTAAAGCTCTGAAACCTCCACCCTTGAGAAACGGCGTGAGCAGGGGTACCCACAAAAGTATCAGCCCACTCTCCACCAGTGGAAGCTGTAGGGCGTTTGTAACAAGGCTCCTGTCTGAAGACCGCCCAGGACTGCCTGCTCTACACTCTGCACTATCTGTCACCAGATGCAGCAAAAGGTGGTCACGAGTGACATATTCAAGGGGAAGAAGGAAGGCTACGAAGACAGTTTAAACCAACCCTTTGCCAGCAGTCGGCTGGGTAAGGTGTGCTTTTCACTTTCTGGCAAAAGTCCTGCCAGGGCTCGGGCTGGATTCTCTCCCCAGCGGAGGGCTCAGCAGGAAGTACAGACCCAGCAGGTAGCAGGTCTTCCCCACTGGGCTGGTGATGGCTCATTCTGATCTGGTTCCTTCCCCAGGTGAAGGTGACATAAATCCCAAGGTGCTTCAACTACTTGGCAGTGAGAAAATCCAGGTACAGCCACCCTGTGTATGACCTCTACCGGAACACACACGGCTGAGGACAGGGTGTGTTCTCTCCATGAGCGTCTAGAATTCTGCTTAAACACAGGGGTGCAGCTGGGTTTGCTTGGGCTCCCCATTGCCATGCTGGGCACTTGAAGACTACCAGGTGGCATTGCCGACAGAAGCCCATTGCCACTCCTGCATTCTATCTGCCATCTCCCAAATCACATTGGTTTGCTTTTCTATGAAGCAGAGATAGTCAGGACCTTTATTGTGAGACGCCATATTGGTGATGACCCCAGTACTGACACTTGTCAACACAGCCACCAGTTCGCAGGCAGGTTACCGCTGCTAATCATATGTGGCTTTGTGGCGTGGCTGGGGGTGGGGGTGTGTAGCCTTTGATCATGTGTCTGGTGTTGTGGACAAAGGCATCGGGACAGAAGGGAGACTCCCCTCTGACTGGGAAAACCCAGGCACCATGAATGCTCTCCTCTCTGCTGGCCTCTCAGAACAGACCTGGGAGGCTAGAGCCTCAGCCTCAGTTTCCCCAGAGGGCTGAGTAGTAAGGTAGGACTCAGAATGGAAATCTTCCAGAACCAGGGCAGCAAAGCAAAAGCATTAATACAAAAGCTGAGTGGGTACCACTGGGTCCCAAGAGGAGAGGCTCTGTCCCATGCCCTCGGGCGAGGCAGCCTACCCCTCCTGGTGACACTAACCACCTTACAGTATGGCGTCCCTGTCATCAAGTACGATAGGAAAGGCTTCAAGGAGCGGCAGCGGCAACTCCTCCTCACTCCAAGGGCAGCATACGTGGTGGAACTTTCCAGAATCAAACAGAAGATTGAGTATTCGGCCCTGAGAGGTGGGTGAGCAGTCCAAGTGCATGTCTCTCACATCCTGGGATGGGGTTGCTCGCTGAGCTTTGGGGTTCAGTGGATGCACTTATCTCTGAGCCCCGGCGTCAGGGTTACAGATGCCCTCGATATGTCTCACTTTTATGTGGGTGCTGGGTATCCAAAGTCAGGTCCTCATGCTTGGCCATCTTCCAGGGCCCTGTGGCCTTTATTGATGCCAAATTCTGGATCTATCCTCAGGTGTCTCCACCAGCAGCCTGAGCGATGGAATCCTGGTCATTCATGTTTCGCCAGGGGACAAACAGCACAAGGTACCTGTCTGTGGCTTCCAGCCTCTGCTGGAACGCAAGTGAACTGCTATGGCTGAAATTAAGTTGGACCCTGCCAGAACCTCCATATTCAAACCACTCATCCTGAACCTGCCCTGTCACCCGTCTCCACAGGGGGATGCCATCCTGCAATGTGAGCATGTATTTGAGGTGGTCACTAAACTAGCCATGCTGATTAAGAAGGAACATGCTGTCCGCGTTGTTCAAGGAAGGTAGGGGCTTACTCACTGTTGCAAGGCTGCCACCATGAGTCCCACCTGCTTTCTCCTGCAAAAAGGTGTGGGGATCCTCCAACGGGGACGAGGGGGCTCCAGAGACTCCCCTTGCCTCTCTAGTACAGAGCATGCCTCTCTCCATCCTGACCTTGAACTCAGGGTACCCAAGTCAGCATCACTGACCTCATCCATCTTCAGTTTTCACTCACCCAGTGTGCCCAGAGGGTGCAGGCTTGCCTCTGCTGTGGTGGGATGCCTGTTCAGATACAGCACCACAGGTGCCTGTGGACTGACTGGCCAGCAGAGGGCTGGAGTTGTTTTCTTTGGGCGGGGAGAGGGGTAAAAGGCCTGGCACTGAAGGACAGAGAACTGTCAGTTCTCAGTAGCAATGGAGCAGCCCCTTAGCTGTTCAGCTCCCCAGCAAGCCCGAGGTCCAAGGCTGCCAGCGAGGCTGTGTGGACTGAAGCCCACACCGGAATCGGACTGTTCTCTGCCCCAGCTTTTACAGCCTAATGGGTGAGCCTTCAGGTAGAGAAGAGAGGAGTGCGTACTCTTAAAGGTGCCCCTGCTCTGATGGAACTCGGACGAGTCCTTGGGCAGCTGTGAGCTTCTGCAGAAACCATGCAGGCCATTATCTATGCATTGGATGGCCCTCTAGAGAGCCCAATTGTAAAAACATCCTGATTGGCCACATACATAGCAAACAGTGTGATAAAGCAGGAATTCAAAAGTCAGCTAGGATAGTTAGCCAAGGGAGTTTCTTTCGCAGACTAGAAAGCATGTCAGTAATAGTCACTCGCTATGTTTTAAGTCTACAGTTTTACATCGGTCCTGGGAAAGAAGGCACAATAGTTTTTGAGACTGGAGTGGAAGACCAAGTCTATAAGAATAAAAACGGACAGTTAACAGTGGTGAGTGACTGGGAGGGAGGAGGTACTAGATGATATGTATATGCATGTACCAAACGTGATCTCATATCCCCCTCTAGTCCCGACTGGTATGCTGGGAGAAAGGAACAGAGTGACCCTTGAAATAGTGACCCAGTAGTGAGATGGGGCAGCCAGGTGTCAGCAAGCCAGGAGGCTCACACCACAGTTGTCATTCTAAGTACTAAAGCCTCACCCTCGTGAAAACTGGGAGCTGAATTCCCACACTGGTCACAAGCTCTTCACAGTCCTTCTGGGTTGCAGCAAACTGAGGGTCTTTTTCTGTGCCACGTTGCAAGAAAGGGACATGTTGAAAGCAGATGGGGTGGGATCTGTGAAATGCATTTTCTCAACACATTTGAGTTTTTAGGTAAAACTGGTTTGCAGGTATAAATGGTTCACAAGTGCCTTTCACAACACAGTGGCCTCCACCCCAGTCAGTGACAAGTGAAAGGGTCACTTTGAAGGAGGCAATTTTTCAGTGACCTGAGGTGCTGCCAGGACTCTGGGGCCACACAGTCCATGCTCCTCTGTGCCTTCCCCAAGGCTGAAGCTGCACTGATGAGTCTGTGCTATTCACTCTCTAACCCTGCTGGTCCCATAGGAGGTAGAAGGGGCTTCCTCCCCCAGGGCTGAGGCTCTAAGCCAGGTGTCCCTCTCCTTAGGTGTCGGCAAGGAAGAAGACCTGACAGAGGATGACCTTTGCCCTCCCAGGTCACTATTTCTGCTCCAACCGAGCAAGTACGAATTTGATCCAGTTAACCCCATCTTCAGCTCCTGGAGCCTGGATTTCATCAGCAGATCCTGTGCTATGGCAAAGCCAGACCTCAGCCACTTGGGTGCTAGGTGGCACTGCATCCAAACGTTTCCTGAGAGTCAACCTCGAGTCATCCACCTGTCCCCAGTAGAACCCAATTCAGGTACACCAAGAAGTCATTATAGGATGGGTGGTAGACTTTGTACCTCTGCTAAGCTGCTGAGACATGGGAGTGAAGGGAATTTCATCGAGAGTCCAACTTGAATTCTGCTGTAAACGACAGTGGGCCAGCTTCCCACAGGCGCTTTAGCTTCTAGAAGGTGCTTACGCATGCCCTACTGAACAATGACTCGGCTCTGGAGGAGGAGCAAGAGCCCTTGCTCTCTGCTGGTGTTCCCGAAAAGACCAGAAGGCAGATGTGAGTAGAAGCACAGTTGAACTTTTATTTTACATGTGTCCACAGACGCTTGACAACAGTGAGCACGTCTAAACTCCCAACATTGTTTCCGCAGTGCAGACAGGAGGTTAGTGATGAGCTAAGGTGACCAGTGACTTTGGGTGGAGCCCTCTAGCCCGCATGCACCCCGGGGGAGGGCAGAGTACCAGCAGTGAACAGCAGGTACAGAGGTTGCACCTAAATGTGACTTACAGAGAGATCAAAGCCCTTCTTCCTTATCCTCAGGAAGGCGACAGGAGGCCATGCCAGGACCTGCTGGGGGTGTGGGCCCCAATCGCCACACATATTGAATCTGGTTACCATGGACAAAAAGCTATTCCAATTTATTTTGACTGTGAGCCATTAGTGTGCAATAAAACTCCAATCTTTACACCAAACCCAAGACCAGTGATTCACTGGATGGCTCTGAACTAGAAATGCTGACTACTGCCCTTCATGCTAGCCCAGGAAATCTAGAAGCAGAGCTTTGGAACGACTGATGCTGGGTCAGGCCCTAGTAGACAAGGCTGCTGGCAGTATCAGGCACCATGGAATGTTTGCCAGGCCTGTTCCCATCCCTGGGAGCCGAGGTGCAAAGCTGCAGGCACAAGGTTTGAGGAAAAAGGAAGCTAGGGAGAGCTGCCAAAACAGTAGCTAACCATAAGGCGCAGGGGCCACGGCAAGTCAACTGGACCACCAACTCATTCTGCACACCAACATTTAAACAGTGTATACAATGGCTTTTCCATCCCTACAGAAAACACTAGGACTCAACATTCATTTTTACTTCCTAAAAAAGCTGAACCCACAGAGCAGGGCTGACGTTTCAAACAAACAGTATAAAAACTCATAAAACATGATTTGTAAGCTCCCTTTCTTGGCTCGTAATACAAAAGTTTCACCACACCACTGTGTAAAAAGCATCTACCTGGTACACGGTTCCTCGATCCAGTCGGGATTGTTTATTGTTGGCGTTGCTGCCAGATACAAAAGGTATACGACTGTCAACGCACAAAATGAGCTGTAAAAACCGTCACAAAATAGAAACTTGAGAAACACGTCAGAGATTATCCACTTCATACCTTTGGTCTAAAAAGTCGTAACAATTCCTTCATCAAGCATCCTTGCCTTACCTTGTAACTAGTGTACTCACCCACCCGCGTCAGTCGGGACATCTGCACAGGCGCATGGGGACTAGAGGTAGCTGGCACGTCCTCCACAGGCTCCTGTGCCCCACAGCCACACATCCCCACCAGCAGTCACACACATTCTTCAACACAAACGGGACTGAAAGGTACCTGCACACCCACTGCATTCTGTAGAGAGATAAAAACTGAAGGGAGCTCTAGGAGATACGCAGGGAAGTGCCCGGAGACAGCCTACCAGCTCCTAGCGGTGTTCAAGTCTAGGGCTACACAGTTCCTAACCAAGGGCAAGGCACCTACTTGAGGAAAGGAGGCCTCGCAGGGAGCAGACCCTTAAGGCGGCGGCGGTCTGGAGCAGTGGCTGCAAGTGTTCAGATGACCTGGGATGGGGTGTGTCAACAAACCCAGCAACGGGAAGGACATGGATGACAGCAGTCTGCTCCTTGCCAGACAGTGGGGCTGGCAAAACACGAGGTCCCCAGTCCACTACTACAGGCTGAAACTATTGGCCAATGAGAAACTCGTGTACAGAACACACTCCCAGCATGGTCAGAACACACAGGGCAGTTTGGTTGTCAGGTTGCCAACCACACAGCCTCTCAGAACTGTCAAATGAGCCCTTGAAGGAGTGTCACTTAAGAAGCCCTAATAGGTAGTCAACACCCATAAAAATAAATACCACAAAGGCTCTTGCATACATGCCAAACTCACTCATACTTTTCCTCCAAGAGCCGAGAAAGCCCGGGTCTGGGCTCTCAAAAGAAGTCAAGCCCTCAGACAAGCTTGTTCAGAAGGGGTGCACACCTGGGTCAACACAGAAGCAATCCACCACGTCGAGAAATATCAAAATCATCTGGCTTGTTACAAGTGTCTCCAGACCTCAGGGGAAGTGGGAGGCACCCTAAAGCCTGCACAGGGTCTGAGGGGGCAGGGGCAGAGAGGGTGGAGGGCAGCTCTGGCTGGCCTGCTCACTGGTGGAGGTGGGCCCGGTCTTGTGCACAGGGTCTGAGGGGGCGGGGTAGAGGGGGTGGAGCTCTGGCGGTCCTGCTCACTGGTGGAGGTGAGCCCGGTCATCTGGGCGCTTGATGTGGATCCTCCGCACTCGCTCGATCCTCTCCCGTTCCCGCTCCTCGTCCTCATCCAGGTGATGGGAGCGTCCAGCCGCCCCGCCTGTGGCCTCCAGGAGTGCATTGTCAGGTCCTCGGCCATCCTGGGCCTCATACAGCAAAATGTTCAGGGTCTCCTCATAAATGCGAGCTTCGGGAAACTCAACCTGTGCTCCAAATAGACAATGAGTACATTAGCAGGTTGCATAAGGCCCCTGTTTCACACTGCATTTCCCAGCAGGACCATCAGGCTAACAATGAAGACAGTCACAGGGTAATCCAGTGTCACAGACTTGGGGGATACCCCCTTTGTCCGCCGTTTTCTTACACCGGAGCCTCCAGCAGACTCATGGCTGCACCCACAGCTTATAGTGGCTCAGGTGATGCCTTCCTTCCTGATGGATGGCTGTGGTCTGAGCAGGCTGGGTGAATGAACACCTGCTGCTTGTTCTCAGCTTCCTGTCAGGTGCCCTCAGACACAGGCCTAGGCAGGGAAGACAGCAGTAGCTTGAAGAAGCAAAGTCCCAGCTTTTGAGCAAGTGAAGCAAGGGAGCCCAGGACAATGAAAGTCCTTGGGGACTGTAAAGGTGGGAGCCTTGGAAACTAGAAGTACCGGAACGCCCACGGTGGCAGGATCTGCTCCTCCTCACACAGACCAGCAGTGGACACTCCCCATCCAAACAGACTGGCCACACACAGCAGCACAAGAGGCTGAGACTGGGAAATCCAATTGCCACTAGAACCCCATGCACAGGGCTGATTGGAGCTTGTGGCCTGAATCCCACAGCGTTAATTGCCAGCAAAACCAAAACAATATATATTGGGGCCCATGAGATGGCTCAGCGGGTAAAGGTGCCAAGTCTAATAACCTGAGTTCAATTCCCAGGACCCACATGAGGTAGAAGAAAACCAATACCCACAAATTGCTCTCTGACCTTCATCCACATGCCAAGGGAGAGAAGACAGAATATTAAAATCAAACAACAACACAGTTCCGTAGCATATCCTATAACTAGTACTCAAACCAGTTAGGAGATGGTTCTAAATTCTTCAGAATTGGGAAGAAGCAAGAAAACCTCAATTCAGCCGGGTGTTGGTGGCGCACGCCTTTAATCCCAGCACTCGGGAGGCAGAGGCAGGTGGATCTCTGTGAGTTCGAGGCGAGGCTGGACTGACAGCCTCCAAAACAATACAGAGAAACCCTGTCTCGTAAAAACCAAAAAAAAAAAAAAAAAAAAAAAAAAAATCTCAATTCATGGGAACTCTCACTCAACAGATGCCGGAATCACCTGACAAAGGTCCGAAAGCAGCCGTTACTCAAAATAAAAGCAGCAGCAGCAAGAAGTGAAGACAGAGAAGCGAATGCGTTCGCAGACCTGAAACACGACAGTCCAGTCAGGCTGGCGACAGTGCTGACCACAGGAAGAGCTCATGGAAGTCACACAAAGGACAAACAAAGCTCTGCCGGATTACCATCTACTCTGTAAGGATTAGGGACCCGATTAAAGGCTGCACAGGGACAAGTGATGAGAAGAGCACCAGGAATGACCTGGAACACCATCATCAGGTCACCACCATGCAAAACCCCAGAAGAATGGCTTAGATCACGACTCAAGTGTGGCCCCCACAGCTCAACGTCTGGGGAACAAGGAACTATTATCACTCAGGGCCAGTCCTGCTGCAACCAATTACCTGGGAAACCAAGGCCTTGGGCTCCCCTGAGGGGCAAGGTCATCACCAAAGGAGCCAAGGAGAGGAGAAAGGCCCTGACCTTAGGCTGCCTCCTGGAGACCTCCACTTGTCTGAGACCACTTGGGTTGAGCAGGTGCCTGCTGAATCCCTTTGCTCTCCATTAAGCTCTAAAGTGAGAACTGGGAACCTTTAAGAGCTCACTGGAAGCATGATGCAGCTTGCACAGTGAGTGAGTGGATGGCTCTGCCCTGCACCCCCCCTCCCTTGTTTCCAACAAAGATCATCAGCACTCTTTCCTTGGCTACCTCAGAAGCAATCTCTATCTGTCAGGATAGATTCTGAACACCTATGCTTAGCATAGGCTGCTCAAGTCAGACCTGTGCAGGGGAGAAACAGGCGTACAAGGGGAGCCATTGTCACAAGGTGGTGGCCCTGACACCAGGTGATGTGTAGCACATGGGACTCTACTTGTCAGATCCTGTGATTTCAATTTTTCATCATCAATTAAAGAATCCTGCATCTCTCTGCTCTGTTCTTGTATCACCAGTATTCTGCCAGCTCTGGGACCCCACAGAACTACATCTCCCAAAGCTGGAGGGGTGACAGTAACCCGATCCGGTGACTGATGGACTGTACATAGATGACTAGAACCGTGGCAATCTGCTTTTGGCAGAATCAATGTCACAGGTAATCAGAGAGAAGTGACAGAGTGCACACAGCAAGCACAAGGGAAAGTGGGAAGGAGGGAGGTCACGCACTCGCTAATGGGCAAGCGTGTCTAGAGAGTGCAGCTCTGACAGCCAGTCGGGCTCCAGCAGTGCTCTGCTGTATGATTCAGCAAGAGGGGCAGACACGATTGGCTTGAGAGGATACAAAGATAACTCCAATACCCAGCTCTGTTAGGAGTCAGGTAGCTGGGAAAGCTGATATGTGGGAGGCTGGAGGAGTGCTCAGGAGACAAGAGCACTGGCTGCTCTTCCACCACACCTGAATTTGGTCGCCAGGATCCATGCCAGGTGGCTCACAATCCTTTGTAACTTCAGCTCTAGGGAATCCGATGCACCTGCACTCACACACACATACCCACATGAAGAAAGACACATCTACAGATAATTAATACTTTAAAAAGGAATGGCCTGTGGGGCCTATGACAGTGGAAGACAGACCTCAGTCAGCAGACAAGAGGACAGAGGGTGGACAGCCAAGGATAGTCAGAGCCAGCCTGAGGAGGCAGCAATGCTACCTGAGCCTTGACAGGGCCATGCTGGTGGAAAGTATTCTTACATGGAGGACGACAACCCGGCAGGGGCTAGCAACGCCACATGGAGGACAACCCAGCATGGGCCATTGGAAGGGCCACCAACGCATAGTTGGCCCATGGAGGCACGAGCAGTCGGGTGCATATGGTGCATGAACAAACCTTAGCTAGTGGGGGAACATGGCCATCCCTGCTTGCCCAGTCTCAGCAGGACCCACACTTGTTCCTGAGACCTACATACAGACCTGCCCTAGCTCAATGGGGTGGACAGGGAGGGTATACATGTCAGCACACACTTAGGGCCGTCCACACAGCTCTTACCTTGGTCTGCTTCTTCTCGGTGGCATAGACGATGGATGTGCAACAGACTTCCGCAATTTTTCGGCCCTGGCCGTAAAAGGACCAGCAGCAGATTTCATCCCCGATGACGTCCTTTATGAATAGGACTCTCCCATTGAAGCGCAGGGAAAGTTTATCAAAGAGCTCAATGTTCTTCAACATATTGTCGTCAGAGTTGCTGCAAAGAGAATTCAGTGAGGTGAGCAAAGGCTGCAGATGTCTGCCCAGTGCATCTTTACACAGGCCTCCCTGGTTCCTTCTCCTTCTCTACTTCTACTTAGTGAGCTTTTGAGAAAGACACTGTAGTATCTACTGCCCTAGGAGAAGAAAGCCCAAAGACATCAGTTCAAGTCTCAAAGTGTACAAATGGCAGAGCTGGGTCTCAAAAGATAGTTGTGGCCTGAAGGCTGTGCTCATAACACATGGTTGCATGCCTGCCCTACACAGGCCTAAGTAAATTACTGAATGCAGGACCTCTGGGCACAGGCTGAGTCTGCCCTAATCTTCTCTTCCAAGCCCCATGAGATACACAACAGCAGAGTCAAGGAAGACCTTTGTTTTGTTTTTGTTTCTTTGAGACAGGGTAGCCCCGAATGGCCTGGAACTTACTCTGTAAGATCAGGCTGGCCTCTGTCTCCCAAGTGTTGGGATTAAAGGCATGCGCCACCACCGCCCAGGTCAAAGACGACTCTTCATTATATCCCTACATCTCTCAAGTCGCTCATTTACAGAGTGTGTTTCTGAGAGCCAAGGGGACTCTAAAACACCCATCACTTGCTGGTGGCATTGTTCAAACAGTGTAGTCCCCAGGAACTAAACAAGTCACAAATGACCAGCAGCCCACTCTTAGTGTTTAAAAGACAAAACAGTAAACTTAAATTTCCAGCAGCATCGTTCCTAATAGTCAGAAGCTGCAAATGACCCAATGCCCGTCCATGCGGATGAGCGAGTAAAGTGTAGCAGTTTGCCATAAAGAAGAATGACATACTGATGGTGCTACAGTGTATGGACCCTGAAACATTACAGTAAGTAAAGAGATCGGTCACAAAATGATGACATGTTTAAAAGAGGCAAATTTACAGACATAGAAATGTAGGCTAACAGCTGCTCTGGCCAGGGAAGATGAGAGAGACTGCTAGTGGGGTGAAAAATGTTCCAATACTAGAAAGTATTGGTGGCTGCACATTGTGGATATGTCGAAACCACTCAACTGTACAACACAAAAGGTGAATTGTGTGGCATGGGGAATTCCACGTGAAGTTTCACCTAGCCATCTATCTACCTGTCTATCCACCCAGCTAAGGTGCAGAGGGTCCTTCTGGTGTGAAATGGACACAGGCAGAGCCTGGCATGACTGCTGGCTGACGCTTACCTGGTGTAGGAGTATTTGTTGTTACTTCTGTTGTAAAGCAGCTTCACGGCCGGCTGCGGTCGGATTAAAGGAGAGGACAGTCACTAGACATGCAAGTTAGTACACACTGGCTTCCCAGCGGCTGTGGGCGCAGGCTTGCAGAGCTTACAGGAGAGGGGTTGCTGCACACTCCAGGGGCAGGGGTAACACTGGAGATGGGGCTTACCACTTAGAACTGGTACTATCTCAAAACACAGGCACTACTGCCCCCCACCCCTGCCTCTGAGCCTGGACAACCCCCCAATACACACACACACCCCACTTGCAAGCCTCTACACACCTTATTTGAAGTCGCTATAAGTCTCTGTTCTTCCTTGGAGGAGGTGATGACAGGAACCTTGCAGAAGGGTTCGTAAGTATCTTTGTTCTGCTGGAACAAGACATGCTTTCAGCCAGGGGTCTGCCTAGCACAAGCTGTTTAAGCTGGCCAGCCAAGAAGCCAGGCCCTGATGAGGAGACAGACGACAGTCATGGTGGGAGGAGAGGACAACATTTTTGCATCTGATAATTAGGAAGGCTAAGACTAGGGGAGGAGTCTGCTGTTAGGGCTGTGGTATGCCTGACTGCCCAGTAAATACAAGAATGACACAGCTCTCTCTGCCCAGGAAGCTCTCAGTACAGCAGGTGGTGGCATCAGAAGCCCTTACAACCTACCGGAGAAAGGTCCACATCCCTGCAGTGGTGGCAGAGGGCAGAGATGCGTTACTGCTTTAACAATGTACAAATTCCCCAAGCCTGCCAGTCTGGTGACATTCAGCCATGCTCACACCCCACAGACGGAAAAAGGGTTTTAACGAGAGTTGCTATGTAGCCTGGGCTGGCCTCAAACTCATGATCCTCCTGCCTCTGCCTTCTGAGAGCCCAGATTTCAGGCACTGCCACAGCTGGCAGTGGAGAGCTCCTTACAGGGTATCATCTTCCCCTTAAGGCTCACAGTGAAGAAAGTCAGTCTGTTATCCAACCATGAAGGCCCCGGAAGGCTAGGACTCCAACCCCACATATGTGGCTTTTCCTTGGGCCTCAATAGAAGCCAAGGGTCATCCAATAATGTACGAGAAGCTTCTCAAACATGACATCGGAACGAAAGGAAACAGTGAAAATGCAAAGAAGAAAGCCACTGAAGGAGCAGACAGACAGAGCAGACCGAAGGACAAATGATCGGGGAGGGGCACCTTCTGCCACAAGGGCAACCCAACATGAAGACAGCTTTCAGACACGGTAGGGAAAGGACAAGGAGCCAAGTCCTGGAGGCTGAACCTCAGATCTGTAGACAGAAGCCAGAGGACATGTCCCGACACAAAGGTGACACAGAGGATCTTGGAGACATCTGGACAGTCCAGCATGAGACTGGCCCTCCTATCTGTGAACCTGGGGATCAAGTAGGGACAGAGATGCAATCAGAAATCAAGCAAACAAAACAAAAAGAAATCAAACAAAATGCCCCAGGGCACAGCAAGAGTGACAATGACAGGGGGAACTAGGACACTGTCTAACCCAAAGCTGTGATTAAACTCTTCTTCAAGAAGGAGCATGCAAGCTTGGTGGAGGGGAGGGAGTATGTGAGGAGAAGTCTAATTTTCCAAGTCCAGTAGGTCACATCTAAAGCTAGGAATATATAGCAGAGCGCGCCTGCCTGGGGAAAGGGGTGTGGGAGGTGGGAAGGCTATGTGGCAGGAGTCCTCCATCATGGAGTACGCTGTACTTCCTGCATGATGTGCCTGCACAATGTTATAAATGCAAGAATGAATCCAGTGAAATTTATAACGATTACCAGGGCTCACAGGCAAGAGATGCGTGTGGCAAGGCCACTAACTTGAACTCGGGACAGTGAATACTGTCCCAGTGAGGGCTAGACACAGCTCCAAGACTCAGGGAAGGTGCAATCACAACCCTATCTATCACAGCACAAAGGGACCTTGTGAGGCTCCAAAGTAAAAGCTACTGACTACATGTGCTCTGTGGACTTGGTCCTTACTGGTCCTGCTTCAGGACACACGAAGAGTGAAGGGACTGTGTCTGGAGGTTTCTCTGGGCTTCCAACGATAACAAACGTAGGGAGTCAGTCACAGGGTGGAGTCAGAAGGATTGCAATCTAAGGAGATGATGCAGCTGCGCAGGTGCTAAGGTAAAGATCTGAGCACAAAATGTTTCTGAAGTACTGTCAAGTTATCCCCTAGACAACAGCATCCAGGTGGGATGTACAAACGACCACATGCTAATGATGGGGGAATGGTTCCCTGATGGCTTTCGGAAGCAGAGACCTGTTTGAGCAGGTAGGTCTCAGGGTTACTCTGCAAACGTCTCCCGGTGTCTCAATGAGGCAGGGCCCATTTGCAGGGGGAAAGGAGGTGGCAGACAGGTCCGGTGCCCGCATGTGGGGCACATAGAAGGGTGCCTACTTGTAGGGCCGCCTGGCACTCTTCTAGCAGGCCCTGCACCAGGTAGTACTTGGCCTCCGCCAGTAGCTCCTCGATCTCCCGGCGACTCTCAGGCAAGGGCACAGAACCGTCTCGAAGATAGTTGAGTATTGTCCCGAAGTGCTTCCCACAGCGGTCAATGAGGATCCAGCCTACAGTGGGGTGACAGGGTAACTGGTCACATGGCAACTTTTCAGGGGAGGTGAGCACGATGGCTGGGCACAATCACTCCAGACTCCTGCGGTCATTAGCCCATGAGGCCCTACGGCAGCTAAAGCCTGCAAATGTGCTCTGAAGGACCTGGCAAACCCTGAGAAACTCAAACCTGACGCCAGCAGCAGAGCCAATCCAGCAGACATCCCTGACTGTGACCTCCAGTCGGCAGAGACCTATCCATGACTCCACACAGCAAGCACGCCTGGGCAAGGGGCAGCAACCCAACAACAGAGGGCATCAAAGGGCTCAGATGGCGGGTGAGCCTTCGCTGGATACGGAAGAATGCTCCACCTTCTGGCCAGCACCAGGCATGAGGGTAAGGGCCAAGGCTAACCCTCTGCTAACCAGTGTCCTCTCCAATCATCACTGGCTTACTCCTCCTCCACCTGGCCCCTGGTTTTCAAAGCTCCTCTCCTGAAATGTGACATCTCTGGAAGGCCTCAGAGGAGACCAGGCCTGGAGCCTGGTGACAAAGAAGCAACAAAAAGAGGTACAAAGGGAGAAGACCTGTGATCTCTCACAGCGCATGGGAAACACTCAAAAGCAGTTGAGGGGGAGGGGCGCCTGGCAAGAAGCAGTGAAGAGCACTGACTACTCATCCAAAGGACTCAGGTTCAATTTCCAGCACCCACATGGTGGTTCACAACCATGTCTCAGAGTATCAACAACCTCTTCTGACCTCTGTGAGCATAGGGCACTCACGCGGTACACAGACATATGTGCAGGAGAAACATGTGTACACACAAAACAAAAATAAAACTAAAGCAGCCAGCCAGCCGGGTAAGCCAGCCCTCACAGGGACTGCAGGCCAGGAGTCTTGGTCATGCCTGCTGACCACAGCATGGTAAGGAGGGGTAGGAGGAACCCGGCCCCCACTGCCTTCCCACTCTCACCCCTGTTGGGAGCAAGAATAGACACCTCCACTGCTGACCCCATCATGTCCTGCCCCGGGGGTCCTCAGATCCCTAAGCCAGAGGGAGAGGACAATAAAAGTACCTTTTTCATGTCAAGTCACACACCTGGCCACCTCATTTTGCCCCCATGTCTACTATATCCAGCCTCTGCCAATGGTCTTTTGTGGTTTTGGAGCTGACAGAGATTTCTGTACCCCGACAAGGCCACCCCCATGTTCTTCTCATGGGCCTCCTCACACTGCTGTTACTGTGCCTTCTTCTAAGAGCAGTCTCTCCCTCCAGAGCCTTCAGTGGGAAACTGCCACACACTGTGTTTCCTGCAAGGAGCAGGAAAAGGAATGCCCCACCCGAGAACACAGATATGTCCTGCTAAGCGAGCTGGGAAGGTAAACCCTCCCACAGTGACCTCCAGGTGCCATACAGCCCTCTTTCTGGGTCTGAGAAAACAAGACAGGCACTTTCTATTGTACACAATGCAGTCAGCAGCCTAATGTGTGCAGCTGGGTGGTCCAGGTCAGGGACTGGCTAGGAAGTACACCCTTTTCCCAACCCTTTCCCCCGAGTGCAGCCTCGATCAAGTCAGCCAGAAGTGGCCAACAAGGAAAGTGGGTCCAGGTTTCTTAGGCTCTAGCATTCCAAGCAAAGTCAGAACAATCTCCTCATTTTTAAAGGATGGCAAATTAAACAGTTCTCAACCCATCAAAAGGCAAATGAAACATGGATATATATGTAAGTTGAATTCAGCCTACGTGCATCCGGCCTACAGCCCCCAAGTTCCCTAGACCAAATGAGGATACAGTATGAACCGACTGGATTGCTCCTCAACTGCTCTTCTTGGGAGAAACACTCTCTGCATCTCCACAGATAGAGTCCCCAAGATGCTTGGTGGCATTCCAAAGAGGGGGTGCAGGATCAGGATTCAGCCACTAAGAGTAAGGACCCTCAAGCTTCAGCAGAAATAGCAGTCAGTGACAAACTTGGCTGACCGGGAAGAGCCTGCCCATGTCCCGCCTTCCGTGCATGATCAGCTCAAGCTGCTGGGTAAAGGCCAAGAGCCCCCAATTCCATCACCCAAGCGACAGGCCAGAGTTTCCATAAACGAACAGGCGAACTGTGACACTGGGCTCCAGCTCAGGAACATCAGGAAATGCTTGCGGGGAAGGCATACTTTGGACAAATAAGGGCAAAGGAGCCAGGCACACTCTCCATGTGGTTTCAATTAGCATTTTGACTGGAAATATTTTGGTTGCTCTCAAAGCAGGACTCTATCCCTTACAGTCAGCTTGAGCGCCTGCACAGAGAACAGCAGTCAGCCAGCCAGCAAGCAGCTCCTTGTTCCTCGGAGCACATGGCACTTAGGGCAGTTTACAGGACACAGGATGGGCAGTGCAGCCCAGAGACTCTGACTACTCCAGGATGCCTCGGTGCCTACACGGTCCTGACAAGCGGGCCCCTGCTAGAGCCCCAGCTCTGTCACTGCCTGCTCCACCCCTCGGTACTCCCCTTAAGCTCTCTGTCAGCCATCTCTGTACAGACAGAATGCACAGTGCTGGCATTCAAGCATGACCAGAGAAGGGACAGAGAGCATAAAGCACAACACCGGCCTAGCGACATCACTTACAGCTAGTGATGGGTCAGCGACAATGAACACATCACATCCTAGCTGCTGGAGAGGACAGCAGTGGGACCCTCAGGAAGCAGCAAGTCCCAGAACCCAGGAGGGAGTCAGGCAGAGGGTTGATGGGGGTGGGAGCACTGCTGGGGCATGGGACTACTGGGCTCACCTCATGCAAGCACACTGGCGTTTCCTCTCTGGGGAAGTCAGGCTGTCCATCCCCTTCCCGTCCTTCTCTAGGAAGCCTTTCCTCAGCACACTCAGGTCCTTACAACTCCAAGCCTGCCCAGTCTCCACAGTCACTCAAATTCCCGAACCGGAGTCTCAGGACCTCCAGCACTGGCTCTCCTGCTCAAGTGGATTTACTTGTGACATGGGGCCTGCCCAGAGCACTGCAAAGGTCGAGCAGCATTCCCGGCACCCAGGCTGTGACAGCCAAAAACATCTCTGGACACTGCTAAATGTCCCTTAGGGCACAAACAACAGCAGTCCTTATCTGAATCACTGAACCAGATCAGGACCAGATCAGAGGATGGGGCTGAAGGGCAGACACTCCTACCTAGCAAGTACGGTTCCCAGACTCTTTCCCAGTACTGGGAGGGAGGAAGGAAAAGGAGGGAGGAAGGAAGCAGAGACCTGACTGTAAAAGCAATGTGTAAATGATGGAAGCTGAGTACGCCAGGCTGGGGGATGCTGTCCACAATCAGCCACATGGAACAGGATCCAGACACATGCCTTTACAGAGCAGCATGGCTTAAGAAAAGGAAAAAGTGCAAATTACATGTATGGTGTGGACTAACTTTAAAGATGTGTTACACTCGTTTATGCTGTGGACTATTTAAGTGTGTAAAGGTGGGTTACATTTGTTTCTGCTGTATTTGTTCAATTATGAAAAAATGTGTTGCTGTTTCAGCTTGCCTGCCTAAGGCACCTGACTAGTCTAATAAAAAGCTGACCAGCCAATAGCTAGGCAGAGAGAAGGATAGGCAGGGCTGGTGGGCAGAGAGAATAAATAGGAAAGAGAACGAGGGAGAAAGAGAGGGAGACGCCTAGGGTCAGCTGCCAGCCAGCAGACACAGCAGGACACACAGAAAGAAAAGGCAAAAAGCTCCAAGGCAAAGCGTCGATGAAGAGACCCAGGTTAAGTTATAAGAGCCAGCAAGACAGGAGCCTAAGCTAAGGCCGAGCATTCCTAACTAGTAAGAAGTCTCCATGTCATGATTTGGGAGTTGTTTTCAGGCCCAAAGGAGAAAGCTGGTACAGACACAGTCAAACCAATTACTATAAAAGGGACACACACCACACCAGAAGTTAGGGAACGCAAGGCAAAACAGACACTGGGGCAGAACGGCAGCTTGGCAGTAGTTAAAAGGTTCAGCAGTGCCTGGGCAGGCACAAGTCCAGACCACTGGGAGGCATGAAGACTGACACAGCCACCTGAGTGAAAGCTCTGGCAATACCCAATGCAGTGGAAGACACTGTCCCCAGCTGCCTCTGGGAACACACGAGAGGGACAACTAGGGGTGGGCCAAGAGCTGAATGCTGCAGACCCCGAGGTTGTAACAGGAGAGTGAAGTCCAGCCCTTGCCCCACATCCCCAGAGAGAAGTCAACACTCCTACACTGAGCACTGGAAATAATTTGTTGGGCCATCAGCCAGACATATTCCATCAGCTGCAGTGTGTGTCTAGAAGGGATTACCACAGGGAAATACCTGAGCAGGAGCTATTTACTCACGACGGCATAAGCATAATACTGAATGAACAAGAGCAAGAAAGAATGCCAAATACTGTCTAAGGCCACACTAAGGGAACATTGCTTAGTAACTCCACAGCAGTTAGCAAACGTAATACCTAAAAAAACGTGGCTCCCAACGCTGGCTGCACGCTGGAGCCACCTGGACATCTATCGAGCCAACACCGGGGCGGAGTCCTCTGGTGAGAAGACTGAGGGCTGCACTGGGGACCTTGAGTCAGGCTAGCAGCTGCCACTACAAAGGAGAGCGGCCAAGAGACGAGGCACAGATGCCACACTGTATTAGATGACTTGGCTTTCTGAGAGGATGTGCAGGTAATAAAATGACTCTGCTTCGGCCTGTCTCTACACTCCCAATTCTGAACGCGTTAGTCAGAGGTCTAAACCTCGGGGAGTAAGGGGCAGGGAGGGTGTTGTGTACCAAGAAACACAGCACTGCAGGCCAGTGCTAAAGAAACGGGATGTGAGAACAGGGTCTCACCATTCCAGGCTGGCCCTGAACCCTTGATCCTCCGGCCTCTGCTTCCTTAATGGCAGAATTACAGGCGTGTGCCACCATGCCCAGTGTTTTATCTGGTGCTGGGGATTGAACCTGGCTCCAGGAATGCTGGGCAGGCACTCTATCCACTTAGCCTGGCCCAGTCTCAGACTCTAATTCTTACTGCAAGAGCTGCTGCATAAGCCCACTGGGCCACTGGAGATGTTGACGAGAGCTCACAGGAAAATTCTACCACGGGCAGAACTCAACTTTTCAGAGAAGCAGGGAAAGCTCTGCTCACTGCCATTGTGTCCTCTCAGAATAGGCACCCTGAGGGCACAATACCAAACCGCAGCACATCCACTCCTGAAGGGCAAGGTGGGCTCCCCGCCTCCCCCATGGAGGCAGGCTTCCGTCAACCTGCTATCTGCACGCGGCTCCTCTCCTTCCACTCTCCAGTAATGCCTGCTGCCAGTCGGCCCAGAGCTCCCAGCACCCACCACGTGGCTCTCTAGCGGACTCATACACTTGGAACTGTCAACTACCATGAGACGAGGTTCCAAGAAAGCCACGTACTCAGTGTCACAATTCCAGTAAATGGCTTTCGAGGCAAAAGCTGGCACCATGACGGAAGGAGGTAAGACTCCACAAACGCCAGCTGTGACTTTGCCATGTGGCAAAGACAGGCAGAACTGAGCCCATGTTCTTTATTCAGGAGCTGTGTGCACAACGTGCAGCGCTCAGGCAAGTGGCAGTGAAGGGGACGCTCCCATCAGCCTGGACACAGGGCCTCTCCTTAAACCATGCTCTCTCAGCCATGCGCCAGGGATGTCTAGCAACAGGACACACACACTACCAGGACTCTGAAACCTCCTTCCCTTTCTGGTGGGAAGCCCTACCGTGGGTCCCTTGCTCAGCTGCTGCTTTTAACATTAGTCTTTTAAAGACAGGGTCTGTGGCCGGGCGTTGGTGGTGCATGCCTTTAATCCCAGCACTCGGGAGGCAGAGGCAGGCGGATCTCTGTGAGTTCGAGGCCAGCCTGGTCTACAGAGTGAGTTCCAGGACAGCCTCCAAAACAATACAGAGAAACCCTGTCTCGAAAAAAAAAAAAAAAAAAAAAAAAAAAACAGAAAAAAAAAAAAAGACAGTGTCTGTGTGTCTATATAAGCATGTGCATCTGGGTGACCAGAGAAGCCAGAAGGAGGCATCCAATCCCCTGGAGCTGGACTTACAGGCAGTTGTGAGCTGCCTGACGGGGATACTGAGAACCAACTTCAGTCTTCTACAAAAGCCGTGTCATGTGTCCAGCTCCAGCATTTCTGTTTGTAGCAGATTTCAATGCAGCTGGCAGTGAGATGGATTCCCAAATCAGGGCCAATCTTGAAGATGTAGGAAGTCTATCCCTATTTGTACCTAAGAATGCTCCTGGGGCAGCATGTAGGCCACGGGTCGGGCCATGCAGTCCCTCCAAGGACAACAGGATGGCTCTGCCTGGCATGGGTGAAGATGCCTCCATGGAGCTCAAGGACTCTGGCAGCAAGCCAGTGGCTGACCCACTGTGATCTGGCCTGCGATGGCCCTGTGTCCAACCACAGAGAATAAGGATCAGGGAATCTCTGGGTTGGTGGCTGCACCTCCTTTGCTAGCAATGTAACTCTAGAAAAAGCATTTAACTGGTTCCACAGCAAAGGGCTACCCTGAGGATTAACAGAAACAATATCTGTTAACTGCTGGACCCAGAGTTCTCCTAAGGAGGTAGGAGGCCTGGTGACTGAGGGGTACACATGACATGTCTGGCATGTTGGCGACAATCCTGCTTCCCCAGATGCTGGATTACCCAGACAGCATGGAACAGACGCTGCCCTTAGCATGTGTCTACAACAGAAGCAGGTCTGCTGGTCCACAGACACTGTTCATGTGAGCAACAAGGGCTGTGAACCCTGTCTGGCTTGCAGTGTGGCCTCTGGCCACCCAGATGAGGGCTTTCTTCAAGAAGTTTACCCCAGCTGCTCTTCCAGAACCCTGCCAAGACTGCAACAGGGGGGACCAAAGCACACAATGACCCTGGTTTCTCAGATAACATCTGTTTCCTCCTGCAGCTGGGGGTCATTGTCTTGATTTCCACAAACACTCGCAGTATGGGTGTGACTACAGAAAAGGGCACCTCCCATCATAAAACACTGTTTCTGAGCACAAGCCAGGGGGCCTGGGGCTCTGACCCACTTCACTGGAAGGGGAGCAGTAAGGGAAGCTGCCCTGCCCTCCCCACCCTTCACAGAGGCAAGCTGAGGCCTGGAGCAGGAAGAATCCTGATCACAGTCACACAGCAGAGCTGCCAGGTCAAGACCAGTCTGGTCTCAGCTCCAGTGCCACTTCCGCAGGAAGATCTCCCTGACCACACCCCCCAAGTCTCGGGCTTCCTGCACACAGCTGTGTGTACAACTACTCTTGAAGACCAGGCTTCTGGACAGACAGACATCCTCAAGCACTAGTGTGTCTGTGGCACTGAGCGCAGTGTCAAATTAGCAACCACCAGCTGACAGCTGGTGGATGGACTCACCTTCACTGTCGGTGAGAACCTCCATGCGCCCACTGAACATGGCCTTCAGCATGGTGTCCTGCTTGGTGAGCGTTTGCATGGTGGTGTAGTAGAGGGCGCCCCCGACATTCAGCTTCACGTACTTGGAGCTGGGGCTGGCGCCTTTGAAGGAAGTGGTGCGTGTCGCAGCCGCTGGCACCGCTGAGCTCACCACGCTTTCTCCTGACATCTCTTCCTGCCAGTAAGAAGACAGGATCAGACACCAGCTCCCCTATTCCCGTCAGCCATAGGCTGAGCTCACACAGAATTCACTCCAGATAGTGCTCTGCTTTGGCCCAAGTACTCATTACATTTAAAATTTTCAATGTTGACAATAGTGTCACTAGACAGCACCTTCAGATACAGGGTACTCAAACCAGGGCTAACACCTGTCTTTGCCTACTTCAGGAAACTGACTTTTTAATATGAATCTATCAAATTCTAGAGCTCAAAGGAAAAAAAATCTGATTTCTGGTTTCTCTTAAAATCAGAGGCTAACCGGGTCGGTGAACAAATGGTGGCCGCTGGGGGACTGGCTGCCCCCAAGGTGAGGAATGCATCCCTTAGTTCACACCAATCCACACCTAGTCTAACAGGCCAGCCTGGCCTGCTGACCCTGTGGTATGAGTTTGCCTCTAAATCTGTCTGTATCCGCAACAGATGGAGGGCATATCAAGAGCCAAAGCCATGCCTGGGTTGCTGTACCTTCCCTCACAGTCACCAGGAGCAGTTAAAAAGACCATCTTTAGATGAACTGCAGACTGACATGCTTTTGTGAACTAGGCAGCTGCCCTACTCCTTCCTGCTCCTACAACTTCCTATGGGGAAAGTGACCCCGAGCCCAGACAACAGCCAGATGAGGAAGCGAGTTCAGAAAAAGGAGCAATTTCCCACCTTAGTGTCACCAGACAGCGAGATCTACAGCAGTCCAGACAGCACCTTCAGACACAGGGTACTCAAACCAGGGCTAACACCTGTCTTTGCCTACTTCAGGAAACTGACTTTTAAATATGAATCTATCAATTTCTAGAGCCTGAGATGTCTAAGGGTGGACTGGGTCTGTTCCCTGAATCTGAGGCAAGAACTGAGAAAGAGAAAAGCAGCCTCCATAGACAGTGCAGGCTGCCAGCACTGCAAGGCCTTGGAAATGTCACAGAACTAACTTCACCATTACATGAAGCCACTCTGGGCCAGGCTACTGTAGGACAAAAACAAGACCATTCCACCATCGCACCCAAACACATGAAGGACACAGGCCTTATCCAGACATGACCACACACAGCCTCTCCTGGCTGACATGTGTTCCTGCTGCTGCCTGCTGGTGCCCTGAGTGCCCTACCTTCAGGGTGGAATTAGCTGTCTGCTGATGATATTGCACACAGCAGGGCCACTTCTCTGAACACTCCTGTTCCTCCTCTTCCTGAGGCACCTTCCTCTCTCAGTGCAACCTGGCGGTTACCTGGTCACACTGGGCACAGGTATGCTCCTGGTCTCTTTTGGCTAGAGGGCACTGACAGCACAAAACTTCAAACTACCTGAAAAATGGTGGTTTTCTTATTTTTACCAGAAAGACTGTTTCCACAGTGAATGCTTATTTACATTATAAACGACAAAACATACCTAACAGGCAGGAGACTAAACAGAAGCAACCTGTTGTTACAGCAGAGACAGTAAGCAAGGGATGGGAGATATGGCTAAGCCTTCCCACCGCTGGCCCCTAATCCTCAAGGGTGGCTGGGAATCACACTGGGGAACTTGTGTCAGAGCCCTGCAAGGGATTTCCTCAAATGATTCTTCCTGATTAGCACTCACACACAGACAGATACACAGACTCACCCACACACCCACCTCCCAAGGCGGTTTCAAAAGTTCGGGCGGGGCTCTCCTGGGGTCTATGTCATGAAGCCAAAATAAAAGATGCCAAGAAGAAAGCAGAACATCACCCACTGCTCCCACAGCTTTCAAACCAGCCCCTAGAGATGCTATATTAACAGTTATGGCCAAACATATCCTCCAGAAATAATGTCCACTGGCGGCAGGAGATTCTAGGAATAAAGCATTTTCCAAAACTTTGATGACCTAGAGGGTGAAAGAAAGGCTTATAGTGTGTGTCTAGAAATACTTTATATCCTTTCAGATGTAAACTTATAATACACACACACACACACACACACACAGAAAGTATAGTCAGTGGAAGCAGTCTAGCATCTTGCAAGGCACCTGACAGGAACACGCCTGTGCATCTGCGCAGCCGCACTCTGAGGAAGTCAAAGAACAGATACCCTAGACATACCCATGTCCTTCACCACTTGGTTTCTGCCATTCTGACTGTGACATCCACACCACGGGAGAGGCAGGGACAGCCATCTCCATTTTATGGCCCATAGAGGGTCAGTCACTTCTCAAAGCCACAAGGGTCAGTGACAAGCAAGCAAAGGATGTGGGCAAGGCCCGATTGACCCTGGGCTGTTCACAATGCTTGGTATATTAGAGCTGTGACATGTAAGTCAATAAAGGAAAAAAAAGATGAAAAGCAACATGTAGTTAAGGACTCAGCTGGCCCAGTTCAAGGCTCCAACTCTGTCACTTAGTAGTGGCAGGAACACGGGCTAGATACCTGAATGTCCCAGCTATCAGAGACACTGGCTTCCTTCCCTGCCGCAGGAGGCCAGGTGGACAGAAGCACTCAGCATAGCCCCAGGCTAGTTAAACACTCCAGCAGAAAACACTCAAATCATGATCATCAAAGTCTCAAGTCACTGTCTCTTCTTCTCCAGCTATGAAGTGCAAAACGACAAATATCACAACAGAGTCTGTGACACCATGTGGAGCAAGGAAAGCCTAGAAATATGGCAGACTTCCTCACCCCAAATTAACTAATTGGCCTAATGCCAGAAGGGACCCTCGGGGAGCAGATCTTGGCTGCATCCATGTCCCCAGGGCTCAGTGTTGGTGACCTAAGGGCAGGAAGCAGTGGCTTGCTTTAGCACTCTTCTCTGCAGAGACCTACCCCGCCCTCCACTCAGTAGGACTTCCCTTCCCTGTCTTTCACAGTGGTGCTTTTTAGAGGCTGACTTCACCAGTGAGGGCGCAAGTGGAGCATTAAGGACATGGTTACCAGTCACAGGAGGGAAGGCATCCTGAGATTCGGATTTGTTTGTTTGAAATTGTCCCGGTGCAATGAGTGAATCTAGGCTTCTTTCCTCCCCAACTGCTTAAAGATACCGTCACTGACTCTAAATGGTGGCTCTCCCTGGCCACACACTGGCACCCCAGAGGAGTTTGAGAAAGACAGTGACGTCTGGGTCCTACTCATAGATATTCTGGTGTTTTCCCTCTATTGGATGTGGCCCGGGGAATTCTTTAATTCCCCCAGTTGGTTCTAATACGAGGCCCAGATGACAAGCCTCCATTCTAAAAGGTTCTGTACCCCTTAATTCAGCTATAATTAGTTAGCTCTGTGGTCTTAAGAAGCTCTCTAACTTCTTACTCTGCTGGCCCAGTGAATCCCTGACCCGCACGTAAAAACCAACCAAAGCATCATAAATTAAAGCCTTGCTGCCCAGCTTCAGAGGCCAAAGCAGGAAGCAGCCATCTGCATGCTCGAAAAGATTTTTAAAAAATCAGCAGAAAGGAGAGAACTATTGACTTGAAGGGAAAACCAGACAAACAAGACAGGAAAAACGAAACAAAACAAAACAAAACAGAAAATAGCAAATCCCTGCAGCCGTCTCGTGTGAGCAGAGGGAAACAAGCCAGAGGATGCTCTGCTCTCCGGCCATCACTTTCCATTCGACGTTCACAGGATCGATTGAACCCAAGTCTCAGTTCCCCCATTAGTAAAGCAGACTCTTAAAGCTAGAACCTAATCCTACTTCTAGAACTTTCCTACCCAGAAACAAAGTTACTCGCCACCTGTGCTTACCAAACACAGGTGCCCACCCCGATTAGACCCCAAAGAGGCTAACTGAAGGTTGGCAAGCAGCGGGTGATGTTGCCACTAATTTGGGTTTAAAAGGCTCTTTCAGGTGATTCGGATGCTAAGTAAGATCAGACGGCCAGTTTATCTAATAGCCGCAGGGGATCTGAAGGGGATTCTTCCTGCAGGGAAACACCAGCGAGGCACTAAGCACTCACTCCTGATGGCTAAATCTTAACACCTTCCTAAACTGAGGTCTCTGCTACACCGAAGTAAAAAAAAAATTAAAGGCTGCAGCTCCATTCGAACCAAGCCAGGTAAAGAGGGCAAATAACAAGCATTCTGCACCCCGAACTTGCTTCTAAGGCAGTCACCACCAACTCCAACAGCCTGAGCAAACGGGCGCTCTCCTGCTGATTTTTAACAGGCTTCTCTTCACAGTCTAGTGAGGATATTGTCAGTCCCGCTTTCTTAGGGAAGGAAGCTAAGAATTAGAACTCTTCAGGGGCTGATGTCAAATACCTCCATTTCACAGCCCAAATCACTGATGACTTGCAGCTTGTGAAAGAAATCGGCGAGTCTTGTGCCCAGCTTGTCTGTGGTTAGGGCTGGAAACCTAGCAGCTCTTAACAAGTCCCTAGGTTAGGATGCTAGCCTGGGGGCCAGCTGAAGAGCTACTGGTGTGGCTGGCCTTTTGCCAAACCATTCCTTCCTTATTTTACACGAAACAGAGCTGATGGAAGCTAAATGCATGCTGACTCATTCGTCCTCGGTTTGGGATTGACCTTCTAAGAGAGTGGGTGGCAAACAAAAAGGGCCTGGGTTGATCTCTGCCGGTCCTTACCCAAGGACACGGAACCACTCAGGGAACAGACCCTTGAGAATCCCAGGTAAACAGGAACCATCCCACAGCCCGACAGCAACAAGAGACATCCTGGGATCCCGAGGTGTGGTCACCTAAGGCCTCAACGGAAGTGACTAGATAGGTACCCAGATGCCTCCTGAGGCTGGACTGAGGGTCACGATACCCTGACCTCAGACACCTGGCATCCCTCCCCAGAATTCCAAGCACTGGATTTACAGTCAGTCTCTCGTCATCTCGGCTCCAGACTGTGGGTTTAGAGGAACGTGGAAGGCCTTTCCTGTCTTGCCTGGTACACACCCACGCAAGACACGGCCCCCAAGATGCCAAAAGCTCGGCCCCAAGGATTCCCGCTCGCCCCTCTCCACCGGCCCTCGAATCTTCATTTCCCACCCCGAGCGTCGGTCTCGATCCCGTCTCTTTGTTCTAACAATCCTCCAAGTACCGTCTCCAACCAGCACGGGAGACTCAGAGCCCGTCCGCTCTCCGCCCCGCACATCCCCGCGAGTCCAGACGCCCCTCGCAGAAGCCCAGGTCTGGACCCGAGGCCCTTCCCCCGCCCCGACCTCGCCCGCACGCGCTACCCAGCACCCCTCCGCTGTCGCGCCCGCCGCGCACCGCGCCTGGTCCGGCGGGTCCCTGCCCCTCGGCCTCGCCGCCGCCCTCGCCGGCCCGAAGCCCCCCGACAGCGGCCACCGCCCTCACCATGAAAAGTCGGAGGACGCCGGAGTCTCCAAATCCGGACTGAAAGGCAGGAAACACCCAGCTCACTCAAGGCAGGGGGCGGAGGCGGGGCCGGGGCGGGCACTTCCGTTGTCCACACCCCACTTCCGCCCCGCAGAGGTCTCTTCTTAAAGTGTCCCCTGTAGCCCGAGAGGACCACTCTTTTTCCTTTCAACCACTCCCCTCTCGGATGGGTTCCACCGCCCCATAGCTGTGTTAGGCATTTATCACACTTCTGGATTTTTCTTCTTTCCTGCTGCTTAAGAAGAGGACAGGATGAAGAGACGTTTTCTTTTCTGGACGACGATACTGTGCGGAACTGTTGTTTCCCGGAACTGGATAATTGTTTCTAGGCGGAATTCGGAGCACAACACCCGGGGCAAGATGGCGGCCGGCCTTCGGCCGCTGCCCCGGGTCCGGCCGAACTCGGGGGTAACGGGCTGAGGCGACGGCAGCTGCGGCCCGGACCCCGATCGTGGGGACCTCGAACGGATAAAGATCTCCGGCCTGCCGGTAGCGAGTGGGAACAGGATGGTCGACTCTCCGGGTGGTGGCACCAAGGGCTAAGGGAGGTTGTCGGGGGTCGAGTCTTGGCTTGGGGAAGGCGGAGGGGGAGGTTCTGGGGGTTGACTTTCTGGCTCCAGGGATCTCTCCGTGGCCCCTTTCCTTCGGTTTTCCTGTTCGAGGCAACTGGCCTTAATAGCCAACTAATTAAGGGCGAGACGGATTTGTTTTGTCGTTGTTGATGTTTCTGCCAAATGAAAGGTGTTGGGCCATAGGAGTCACCCGAAGTGGAATTCGAGTTCTGCGCGCTCGCTGTGTGACCTTGGGTGAATTCAGTCACATCTCTGACCTTCGGTTTCCTCCTTTGTAAACGGAGTACTTAGATTGTTTCACAGAGGTTACTTTTTAATACGCTTTAGTGAGGTTCCTGACAGCTCTTAATACAGACAAACTTGACCATATTTTGACGTCAGCCTAGCCACAGGGGAGCCTGCCATTCTCAACTTCCCTTTGTTGTGCCATTCCGTGAGTGGAGGAATCCTGAATTTTGTCTGTCTGACTTGCCAGTAAGTAATTCTTTTGGGGTTCAAATTCAGAAACCCGGAGGACACCGGCAAGTTACATGCCCCTCTCTGCATATCGCTGTAGATTTCTATGAGCCATACCTTGGATTATTTAAGACCTATTGCCTATTCTTCGGTGTATGCTTTCTTTAAGACCCATTGCCTATTCTTCAGCTTTTAAAATTGGGGTATTGTAGCCTATTAGATAGAGCTGATGTAAAGGAAGCACTAGTTAAATATCTGTATAGTGTCTGTTCTGCGACCCGCCCTTTATAGTGGTGGTCATTAAGCCTGGCAACCTAGCTTTTTCCACCATAAAGGAAAATCAGGGTGTGTATTTTGCTTCACAGTCTGGACTCTTGTGTGGTTTTGTTGAAGTTAGTCTTGTCCAGCATAAGAAGAGTTTCAGGCAGGTGGCCTGGGAATATAGAGGTAATGCAAGTACGAATCTTGTCTGTTTGCACTGAAAGCGTGACTCTGCTGCTTACTAATTGTATAGCCCAGACTAAGGGGAGGGGATTGATCACAGATGCTGGGGGGGAGGGACGACCTCCCGCCCTGCTCCCCTATCCTGCCTGCTACTTGAGATCTCTTTATTCTTTTTTTTTTAAGATTTATATTTTTTGTTTTTATTTTAGGTGTATGAGTGTTTTGCTTGCCTGTATGTATGTGTATGCCCATGACCAACAGAGGGCACTGGATCTTCTAGAACTGTGGGTGCTAGAAACTGACCCTGGTTCTCTGCAAGAAGAGCCAGTGCTCATGGCCACTGAGACAGTTCTGAAGCCAATAGTAGTGTCATCTTTTCTTCTACCCTGCCCCCCCTTTTTTTCCTGGTTTTTTCAAGACAGGGCTTCTCTGTAGCTTTAGAGCCTGTGCTGGAACTGGCTCTGTAGAGCAGGCTGGCCTTGAACTCACAGAGATCCTCCTGTCTCTGCCTCCTGAGTGCTGGGATTAAAGGCGTGTGCCACCACTGCCCTGTTAGTAGTACCACCTTAAGGAGAAACCTTGGTATTGTAGTCATGTCTCGAGCCCTGCTTACACCTCTCAGGAGCTTGGCTGTTCATAGTTTAAACAATAGGCCTAGGGGTTCGTGTCCCATGTGCTAGGCCTGGCAAGCCTTAGTTCTTTTGAGGACAGGGAAAAGCTTAATGGAATGGTGCAGATGGGAAGATTAAAATAATAATAATAAATGGACTGGGGAGAAATCAGTGGTTAAGAGCACTTGCTGCTCTTGCAGACGACTCAGTTTCTGTTCCCACATCTCATGGCTCACAACACCTGAACCTCCAGCTCCAGGGGATCTCCTGGACACTGCCCTCACATCCTCACAGACAGACGGAGACACAATTACAAATAATGTCAGAAAGAGAAAAACCCCTTTAGTGTCTGTAAAGGTGACACACCCCCTAGGCTTTGTAACTGCTCTTTTAGCAGCTCGGTAGAACCATGGTGCATGCGTGTCTGTTCTCATGACAGGCATCAAAACAGATGATCAAAGACAAGATTCTGAGACTTCCTGCCAGCAGGGTTGACAGAGCGGGGGAGGGGGTGTTTGTGCCAGCTCTGGGTGACTCAGGTCCATGTGCTCCTCTCTGTGAGAAGGAGGGGCTCCTCATAATCCCACTGGCCACTTTGATTTTTTTTTTTTTTGGCTCTTACCTTTTACCATGCTAGAGAACAGATGCGCGATCTCAACCCTGATCTGCCGCAGTATGGTCTCCGTGTGTGCATACTCACTTTGTCTTTTTACTGAGGATGGAAGCCTGTTGTCTCACAGGCGGCCGTCTTTTCACGTCTAAGTCATAAATCCTTTTCCAGAGCATTGAAATAACATGAAGGGTAATCGTCTTTTAACATTGCACCACCAAGTGGAGTTATTTGAAGTAGGGTCACATTTAGAGCAGACTCTAACTAAAGAGGGTTTTAAGGATTTAGTTTTATGTGCGTTGGTGCTTTGCCTGCATGTGTGACTACATGAGGGTGTTGGATCCCTTGGAACTGGAGTAGCAGAAACTGTGAGCTGCCATGTAGGTGTTGGGAATTGAACCCAGGTCCTCTGGAAGAGCAGCCAATGCTCTTAACTGCTGAGCTGTCTCTTCAGCCCCTAGACAGTTTTTTAAAATGAACCACAGTATATTACTTACACTCAGTAACATTGGGATGCCAGTACTAACTCTGAATTTTTCTTATGCCAGAAAACCAACTCCTCTGAAACCAGAGCTGTGCAAGGTCACTGATGGTCACCTAGCATCTCTGCTGTACAGGCAGGTCCTCAGGTGAGCTCTTCAAAAGAGAGGTCAGTTAGGAGCATGGCTGCCTCTCCCTGTGGTTAGCAGACTTTGCTGGTCTGTTTCAGGCATTGCTGATGGGACTGGCTGGTAGTAGAACTTCAAGGTAATGTGTCTGACTAGCCTGCACAACACAGTATTCCCTTGAGTATTGCTGATGATAGCCCAGGCTGTGGCAAATCCCTGGTGTCATTGGACAGGTGTGAGTCGGGTGGGGAAGGGACTAGAATTCCCTGGATATGTTCATGTGACAGGAATCTAGATGTGTTTCAGAGTGGCTGCTGCTTTGAGTGGATTAACCTAGTGAAAGATGCTTTTCCAAACTCAGCGTTTCTGCATGATTCATGTTAATGTTTGGTCAGCTAAGCTGATGATGCCGTGTTTTGGGGTAGCTAAAGAAATCCCCAGGTAGGAGGCTCAATGGGTCAATGCTGCATATGTTTGACTGTCAGCCAAAACTCTTGTGTGGCCTGGCTGCCGAGTATGTGATGTGTGATGTCCCCTGTCCAGATTAAATAGGCTGTCATGGGGGCTGCTGGAAACATGGTCGGTGGTAAAAGCCTTTGCCATGCAAACAGGAGATCCAGAGTTCAAGTCCTCAGAATCCACCTATGCTGGGCAGATGTGGCCCCTGACTGTAATCTCAGTTCTTCAGAAGCAGAAATGGGGTCCCTGAGGCCACTTCAGAATAGGTAGTCCAGGGGCTCAGCAGTTAAGAGCACTGACTGTTCTTCCAGAGGTCCTGAGTTCAATTCCCAGCAACCACATGGTGGCTCACAGAATAGGTAGTCCATCTAATTTGGGAACAGTGGGTTCAGTTGAGAAACCCTATTTTAATAGATAAAATAGAGAGCAATGGAGGAAGACATGACATCAACTTCAGCCTTCCATGTGCATGTGCGCACACACGTGTCCACTCACACGGAACACACAACACACACAAGCAAAAAAACCATGACTTCTTAAAGAAGGCCTCAGGGGCTGGCAGGATGGCTCTGTGGGTGCAAAGGTGCCTGTTGGCCAGCCTGACATTTGAGTTTGATCCCTGGAATCCACATGGTGGAAGGAGATAGCTGACTCCTACATGTTGTCCTCTGACCCCACACACATTCCATCTACGTACATACTCACACACACATACTCATGTGCATACACACACATATGCTCATGTGCATACACACATACATATATACTCATGTGCATATACACACATATACTCATGTACATACACGCACATGCTCATGGTGCATACACACACACTCATGTTCATGCACACACATACTCATGTGCATACACACACATATGCTCATGTACATACACACATATACTCATGAGCATATACACACATATACTCATGTACATACACACACATGCTCATGTGCATACACACACACATACTCATGTTCATGCACACACACATACTCATGTGCATACACACACAAGACAAAAATGTAATATTTAGATGTGTTTTATTTTAAAGATTTATCATGTTATGTATCTGAGGGTTTGCCTGAATGTGTGTATGTGCATCATGAGTGTGCAGTACCTGCACAGCTAGAAGAAGGCACCAGATCTCTGTAACTAGAGTAGTTGTGAGCTACCATGTGGCTGCTGGAAACTGTCCCTGGGTCTTCGGCAAAAGTAGCAAGGCTCTTAACTCATGAGACATCTTTTCTGCCTCAATAAATGCAATTTGTAAAGAAAGGCCTTGGTTTGCTGAGGTGGCTTG